CTTGCTCCTCCTGCTTCTCTGGGCTTGATGCAAGAATGGAAGTCACCGGGCATGCATCTGAAATGCCAGCAAATCTACAAACCCCGGGGCGGGGCGGTGTGCGGGGAGGAACAGGTGATAAACATGGAAGATGAATATGGGCTTAGCCCGAAGGAAGACCTTTCCTGGGGGGCTCTCTTCCCACTGCTTCTGCTGCATCCCCAGGGAGGGTGATGAGGCTCTGACCTGCTCGGGGCCACATAGAAAATGTTTTTGTCTTAGGAGACACAGCCTTCCATCCCCACTTCTTTGTTTTCTCCACTTTCAGGCTACCTGCCTACCTAAGGGGCCGTCAGCCTGCCACCCCCGGATCTCCACTGGGCCTGTGCTTGCTCAGGGAAGGGATGCTGGCTCACATCCCCCAGGCCCTCACTCTCCATGGTACACATTGTCTCCTCCAGTCCCTCCATCACACTGCATCCACTCTGTCAAACCAGGGGGCCCAGAATCTCTACCTATTCTATGTTATGTGCTGGCCACCTCTGCTCACCCTATCTACCTAAGACATCTCTTCTAGCCCTAGGGCAGAAGGCTGCATGTGGGTTCTCAGGCAAATGATGCTGTGCAGACCTATATTATCCATGTAACTCCTATTCAGTCCAGCTAACAAGAGGCCTATATGAATCCTCAAGTGTCTATAAAAGGGGAAACAGAGAGATGATTAAAAAAAAAAAATTTAAAAAAAAAAAGACACAGCAGGTGGGGGAGGTGAGTGGGGAGGGAGAAGAGAGAAGGCCTTGTTGCCAGGCAATCAGGCCTGCTCAAGGCCTCTCCAGGCTGTTTGCATATCAATGAGCAGCCCATATTTAGCACCAGAGTTGGGGCACCCACACAAACTGCATTGCCTTCCGGCTGCCCATCTCTGAGGGCTCATCCTGGCTTTCTACTGCTCACCAGAGGCCCTGGAAGGATTGGAAAGATCTGCCACCCACCTTGGGCAACTGCCCCAAGAGTGCACCCCGCCCCCACAGTCCAGCCTCTCAGGCAGGCGGGTGCTGAGAAACCAGCATGCGATAGATGCCAATTCAATGACCTCAGGGCAGATCAGTGAGGTGGTGAGGTTGCCTGCACAAACAGGAAGCCGCACCGAAGCCAGTTCTGTTCAGACGGGCACTGGGAGCCTCACGTAGTCCCTGGAGCCCGTGAGAAAGTTCCTTAGACGCAGTTAGTGGGCAGAAGCCTGGGAACACCCACAGGCAGAAGTGGGTACATGTACGCAGGGGAGGGATAGAAATCCACTCTTGGAAAACTACGCTCCTGCACATTCATTCCTGGCCACGTGATGTTGTCAATGCAAAATCCACAGCTTACCTCTCAAAGGGAATAAGAGATGGTTTATTTTGAAGCCATTTTGAGACACCATGGGCCAGGAACACAAATTTTGGTTACCCCAAATTTCATATTACAACATGAAACCGGTTTCATGAAGTTTTTATGGTTTCACAGAATAAAGGAAGTCATAAGTTAAGGCAAGTTTAAAATACATGGGTGGGTACATCGAAGAGGTGGGTACAGTAAGATGGGGAAGCTTTTCTATAGGCCCAAGATGCTATCCGAGCTTTGGGATTGGTGGAAATTAGTAATGAGCTAAGTGAATAGATTCTAAAAGTTTATCCATTAGTCACAGGATATTAGTTCTGACACAGAGGTGGGTAAGGAGTGGCTGTTCCAGAGGGCTAGAATCTCTCCACCACACTAAAATGCAATCAGTCTCTGCAGACAGTTGATTTTCAGGAATGTTGTTCACAATGCCTACATATTGTATAGTCCTGGCCTCTGTTGGTGAACCAACATGAGCTGGATCGCTATAGATGCTCAGGGGTTGCCATCAAAGTCACACTGATAAGCCTGGGTCTAGTGTCTGATGCCACGTTAGTGCCCACCAAGCTCCAAAGAGGTAGTGAGTGAGTCAAGAAATTAGTGACACCATTAAAATCTACTTCCCAGCCCCAACTCCCGGGCTGATTTGCATGCTAGCAAAAGCCTCAATGTCTGAGATGTGTCCCCAGAGTCTAACTCTGTGAGGAGAAGAGAAGGAGAAGAGGTGAGGGGCATAGGGACAAAAGAGGCAAGGAAGCAGGTCTCTGATAAGAATCAGCAAACCAGTCCCACTTGGATGATGCCTTCAAGGCCACCAAGTCTCAAGGCCTCATTTGCATATGAGAAAAGTGATAGAGGAGACTTACAAAAGAGGAATAAAGCAAACGATAAAAGAACAAAGACGTTCAAAGGGGGCTGAGGGAGGGGAGCAGTGGGCAAAGGGGACCTGAATGCATCTACTCCCCATTCAAAATACAGAACT